GCGCTTTTACACGGATTTTCTTAGTTAACCTTCAAGATCCCATTGAAGAAGGAACTCTTATTATTCCCACTTTACAAATGAATAAACTGATATTCAGGAAGATTCAATAACTTATCTAAAGTCACAAATGAGCAGGTGGCAGAGCCTGGATTCTTACCTGGGCAGTCTTACACCAAAGCCAATACTATTGATCACTGAGATCAAATAGTGGTGAGATTTAGGAGAATTTAAGAATCTTTCCACACACAGTAGGGGTGGCAAATGTCTCACACGGACTCCTGCATTTGCCTGGCTGAAGGGGTGAATGGAACATCCAGCCCTTTGTCTGCTGGGCAAACTGCGGGCCTTCCTGCTAATATCTGCAGGGCTGAGTCTATCTAGAGAGTGGGATCTTTTTCTCATTTGTCTTCCCAGAGGGTGCACATTTTTCCAGTTCACTTAGGGACACATTTTAATTCCATAACCCTACTCTGAGTTCCTGTGCTTGTATTTCCACTCACTTCAAATCATCCTCTGTTTACCAAGTGAGTGGAAGATGTGTGCATTTCTTTCTTGGCACATTAAATAAGCCTGTAAATGATTGCATTGGAAGCATGGAGGTAGAGGTTGGTGGAGGTGTAGGTGGAATTAGAAAATAGGTATTATAGAGATTGCAGGTGCCCCAGGGAGATGCAAACAATTAAGCATTGAACTGCTAGCCAAAAGACTTGATTGTTGAACCTACCTGGAGGTGCCTCAGAAAATAGGCCTAGTGATCTGCTTCCAAAGGTTGCGGCTTTGAAAACCCTATGGAGCAGTTCTACGCTGCACATATGGGGTCACCATGAGTTGGAATCTACTTGACAACAACTAACAGCAACAACAACATAGAGATTGTACCAGAAGTTTTACATTATAGTTGTTCTTTCCATTTTATTTCACTTTAGCCAAGATTGAATCATGTAGGATCAATTGTGAGAATATTGTGCATGAACTCTTCCGTACCCTCTTTCCTTTTCTTATTTAAGCCATTTGTGATACTTTATCAGAAACCGAATCAATTGCCATTGAGTTGACTCCAACTCATGTTGACCCCATGTGGGTAAGAGTAGAGCTGTGCTCCATAAGGGTTTTCAATGGCCGATTTTTTGGAAGTAGATCTCTAGGCCTCTTTCCAAGGCATCTCTGGCTAGACTTAAACCTCTAACTTTTTTGTTAGCAGCTGAGTGTGTTAACGGTTTGCACCACCCAGGACTCCTTTTGATGACCCAGATAACCTTTATGTTAATTCACATTTAGTTTCAGTCCTTCAGGTTATTCCTGACTACATTATACTAACTCTTCCAAGAGGTGGTGATGGGAGAGAATGGGGCTTACAAGGTCTAGTTATATACTCAGGATAAATTCATAATGAAAATTAATAAATACTCTTTTTGATAAGATTATTTCTGTACTTTGTAACCTTTCATAAGTTGCTGACCTTCTGATATTTTAGAAGCATAGGATATTAGGCAAAGATTAACATTTGTGATGGTGGTGGGAATTGTCACCTACTGAAAATAGTTTTCTTTTATATTTCACTAAATAGAATTTATTCAGAATGAGTTGCATGCAGCCCGAATATATTTTTGGAAGGAAATAGGTTGACATGATCAGAACACCTAAAATTTGAGGAAGACAGCTATATTCCCAGACAAAACCATCAAATGTGTGTGTGTATGTGTATTTGTATGTATGAAATAGGGCTTAGAAAGAATCATGTTAATAGAGATGATGGAGAGTAAACCTCAGGGAAAATAATATGGGAGAAAGTCAGAAATGAGTATATGGGTAATTATAAAACCAAATGCAATCTCAGAGGAGCTCTGATGGCATAGTGCCTAAGGCATTGGACTGCTAACCAGAAGGCTGGTGGTTCAAGCCCACCAGCCACTCCTTGGAAGGACAGTTGGGCAATCTACTTCCGTAGTGAATGCAATCTCAGAGATACCAATAAATCATGAATGGAATGTGTTTTGTTGTTTCCTTTTTTTGTGTATTTAGAATTTTCGTGTAATTTTTTCCTCATAAATGTATGTTAAATGTTCACAAAATAAATTTATTAAAGGTGATAGGGAAACATACATGTACTGTGTACATACTGTTGCATAGAAACCTGTAAACCTGAGGAAAGAATTATGAAGGAGAACATCTGGATGGAGGGAAAAAGGGAGAGGAAGAGAAGGGATATTGTTGCAGAAGTTTGTTAGATCAAGGACTTTTCTGGTCCATATGAAAAAGCTGTCACATAGTGAGATGATGATACCTTCTGAAAAGAATTCATAAAGTCTTCTTTTAAAAGAAGTGGAAAAACTGATGACTTTTTACCTTTCTGCCTCAGTGATAAGTGCATGTCTTAGAAGACTGAGGAAACAATGAAAGAAGCAAATCTGACCAACAAAACACTTAAGGATATGAAGAGCTAGAGAGTTCGGGCAAGTCTGCCCTTAACTTTGTAGTGTGTGTGGTGAAGGTACAAATGGAGGACTGCGTGCCATATGCTTATATATGTAAAAGTTATAAATCAAGCTAACAATCTGCTAAAGTAGGTTCTATCTTCCCATCTTCCTATTTTGTTAAATATATCTTCAGAACCACACAGAAGGCAAGGTTCATATTTAGAATTCTTACATTTCTTGGAGTTTCTTGTTAGATTGAGATGGTACAGAGGGAACTTACTTCTCCCCCTAATGTGGGACCTACTCCTTTCTCTTCAAACTCTTGCAGTTGAGGGGCCTTGGGTAAATGCAGGTGGACAGCCCAGTCTGCATATCCGAGCTCAGTGAATGTTCGTCTGCAAATAGCTGCTACCTGTCAGGCGTAGGGATGGGCATGCTGAGTCATTCATTCTTGGAAGGATGGATTCCAGAAAGAGGGGAGCATAGGAACTGGAAAGGGGTTGGACTATTTGGTCAGTGAATTGGGGTCCTGGACACCCTGATTATGTTAAGAAGGGTAGGTGTAGGTATGGGCTCTAGGTGGGCAAATAACCTTGGCCTAATAGCCATTCCAGAGCATGAGGCTTGGAAGAGCAGCTCTTGCCCAAGTGTATGGACAGTACTCATATGGGAGTAAGTGACTGTTTTATTGTGGAGGTTATAATTGTAAATAAGATAATGTTACACACAGCTAAACATGTATCCTAGACTTTTTTTTTTTTTTATTATGATTTGAGTGAAAGTTTACAGAGCAAATTCATTTTCCATACAGCAGTTTATACACATTTTGTTTCATGACATTGATTGCAATTTCCCACAATGTAATAGCTCTCTTCGTATCCTAGACTTTTAAGAGAAGCATATTTCAACAATTGCATATGAACAGTAAGTATGACTCCAAGAGACTATATATATGACGTAAAAGGAATGTGATGAATGAATTAAAAGTGAAGAAGAAATGCATAGTTGGCAGGGCCTAGGTTTTACTACTTCTTCTTCCACCAGAATCTAGGTTAGTGGCTGATGTGTATAAGTGCCCAATAAAAATAATTGTTGAACACCACCACCACCAACAAAAATATACCCACTTTAACTGTATAGTGTGTATCTTGGCAGAGAGCTCAAATTTGAAAAGAATATGTATCAAAGATGGGTAGGGGGACGCATGAGTGAAGGCAAATAAAACAAAATAGAAGAAATTTGAAAAAGTAATTTTGGAAGGCTAAAGCGCCTCTCATTTGCTAGGTCTGGCAGATATGCTGAAGAAAGAAAAAAAATAGTACATTTCAAAGCTATCATTTGAGAAAAAGAGGGGGAAAAAAAAAGGAAGGAATAGATCCTCTGCATGAGCTAGATTAAGTGAGTAATACATGAGAGATAATACGGATAAATTATGATGTCAAATTAGTAAGGAAGAACTTTACAAAAGTTATCACCAGATCTAAGCGTATAGTGAGCTTCTCATCTTATCTATTCATCCAAGCCTTGTATATTGTTGAAATGAAAGATGTTGTAGGAAGAATTCTTGAATTGTTTGGGAGGTGTCCCCTAGCATTGTATAGATTATAAAATACAAATACCTTGGAATGTAACACCTATAACCTAGTAGGGATTTTGTTTTGGATTTAGATTATAGTATTGCTATGAAAGAATGGTAACAGTGTCAGACTTTGACTTTGCTTCAACTCCATTGGCAAAATTCTGCAATTTTTTTGCCTGCTTTTACATTGATCTCCATTCAGTCAGGATTACCAGGCAGGATATATACAAAAGATCAGAAATATTTTTAATAAGCAGCAGCATTTATTCAAAGGATAATAAAAGTCAAGATTCTTCAAGCGCTGGTGGTTTATTTTATGATTTTTTATCATCGAAAAATTAACTTCCCAACAGATTTCCTTAGTTAATATGCATTAAAAGACATGGGCATGGACTTTGGCGATAGTTTGGCTACTTTTTTTTTTTAATCTCTTGGCTGGAAAACAGTCTTCTTGAAGGACTGCATATGATGCAGATGATTTTTTTTACCCCCCTTGTTTGTTTCCCTTACCTTCAATTTTTGGTGCTCAATGTAGTTTTACAAGCCGATTGTGAATTCTTCAGTGAAAGGACATGTTGTTTCTGAAGACTGTGAACATTCACTTAGCTCTTATTTTAGTTTGCAGCAGCATTATTTACTTCTTGTCCCTGAGTTGAAAGAACAAAGGCACATCAGCAGTCTTGATTTATTTGATACTACCTGTCATGAGAGGGTTAATAAGCAAACCCCTTTGTGTGCACTCATTTGATAGAACTCTAAGGTTATGGAGACTGAAGGACATATCTTACTGCATAGATTGGCTCTGGGCTACGCAGAAAGGTCACCATGGGAATATCCTATCTGTCAATTTAGATTTGACTATGTTAAAGGGAATCAAAGTGGTAGGCGGAGTGAGTGAGAGGGAAAAAAACTCAGACAAAACATTTTCCTAGAAATGCATTTGAGGGAAACCATTTGGCAATAGCATTTGGAGCCTGTCTCAAAGCCTATCTCCTACATTTCAGCCGAATAGCTGAGAAAAGAGACTATGTTTCTACTTTTAGAGATGAAATAAAACCAGTGAAAAGGAGAGAGGAGTAAGATAGTAAAGGGCTAAATCATGAGGCTTTGTGTCTTTATATATTGATATATCATAGAATAATAATAATAATTTACAGTTTCATTTGAAAAGAAATTCAAATGATATCTTTTCACTTAACACAATTTGAATAATAATTATTTCAAAAGGCAACATGGCTTTTAAAAGGCAAATTAAGTGTCTTCGTGGTAAAGTTAAATATATGCTGAGAACAGTGATTCATTAGCCAATCATGAAGGTGGAAAAGGTCCCTGGGAAGACACTTGGGTTGCGTTCAACACGAGAAAAATGTAAAATTGTGCTACATTTCAGAAAGTGTACTTTATCTCTGCAACCAACCTGCTAGTAGATTTTACCTAGGGTATTTTTTTAGCGGATGAATGAATGAATATATGAAAACATGGTCAGAGTAACCTTAAGATGCTCAGTGCATAAATTATCCTTTTTTCCTTCAAAGTGCTTGTTATAATTTCCTGAGTTGACTAGAATAAATTTTGATACAACACACAAAGTGATTACTATGCATTAGTGTTTTTAATAGTATAGATAACCTTGTAGTATGTAGGAGCTCTGGTGGCGTAGTGCCTAGTTGTACTTAAATGCTCTGGTAAATGATTATATTTGTTATAATTGTTTCCTTTGAGACTTCTAGCATAATTATCTTTGTTTTTAATATCAAATTTTGCTGAAGACACATGGAAGAATTATGAGTACATTCACTATTTTGATTATGTATAAATTTCTACAGTAAGTTACTGGGGACAGAGTTTTGGCGATTCCTATGATTTTTAAGAATACTTCAAATATCCATTTTTTTATACTAAGAGAAACTCAACCAAACCAAATTCATTGCTGTGGAGTCCGATCCAACTCATAGCGACCCCTCCTTGGGTTTCTGAGGCAGTGTCACTAGGGAAGTAGATTGACCAATCTTCCTTCCGAGGAGTGGCTGGTGGGTTTGAACCTCTAGCCTTCTGGTTAGCAGTGAAATGCCTTAGGCAGTATGCCATCAGAATTGTGGAGTAATGCAACATTTGAGGAGCAGTTAGGCTCCAAGTACTACAGTATTTGGTTCTATTTTTTTAAAAAACAATTTATGTTATTAATTGAAGAATTAGAATATATCAAGATAAGAGCCCATGTGGATTATTTTTCAGTGTTAAGATGGTTATGTCTTCTTCTGTTCATGTGGACAAAGTGTACAAGGTCTTGGTGAAGAAGTGATCTTTACATTTATACATACACAGGTAGAGATCATAAATGTCTTTGATTACACACACGAGCACATTTATGGATCCAGAGGAAGGATCTAGTAAAGTGGGAAATGTTGAAGAACAATGGGATGCTGATTTTATGGAACAGAGCAGGAAGAGGTGAGAAAGACCAGGAAGAGAAAGGAGAGGGAGATGGGAGGGGACGTGGGCCTCACCCTGAGATGCTGATACTTCTTTGAAGGGTGGACGCAGGGTGGTAGGAAAGAGAACAACCTTCTCTCCCAGAATCACTGAGATTGAAAGGAGAGGTGAAGGGATTGATCCTGGATAGGAAGGATGACATGAAAATGTGCATTTACTCTTTTGTTCATTCACTCATTCATTCATCTATACATCTATCCATCCAGTAATAGAACCAACGAGTCAATAAAAATAAAATAATTATCCGCCCTTATATCTAAAATAATAAAAGAGAACTAAACTGAACACAATATTTTCTATGAGCTTTTGTGTGGTTTTAGTTTCCATGGGCAACAGAGGAAATATCAAGATACTTTCTAGAGGCTGATTGTGTTTTTCTCTTAACTTGCAAATATAGGAAACTGTAAGAAAACAGGTAAGAGTTAAGTGGGATGGTTTCACATTGATAGTATTATGTCTTTCTGTGGAATATAAATTTTTCTGTTATGGGCTAAATTATATATAGAAGAGATACGTTTCTTATTTTTTGATGATTATATTATTATTTTAGTTCTTTTCTTGGCTGCATTTATAACCTCTAATAATAAACCTAAACTTCTATTTGCTTTGTTTCAGCAATTTCAGCCACTTTCTCTCTGCCTTTTTTTTTTTTTTTTTGGTAACTGGCATACAGCTATATTTGCTTTTGACATAATCTTAGAGTCTTTTAATAGTGAAATTAAACTTGTTCACATTTATTGTGATTCCCAAACCAAACCAAACTCACTGCTGTGGAGTTGATTCGACTCATAGTGACTCCTCCTTGGGTTTCCAAGGCGGTATCTCTTCGGAAATAGATCTCCCAATCTTCTTTCCTAGGAGTGGCTGACGGGTTTGAACCACCAGTCTTCTAGTTAGCAGTAAAATGCTTTAGGCACTACACCATCACAGCTCCCTTTATTGTGATTACTTATATCAAAACCCCAAACCAAATCTGTTGTCTTTGAGTCTATTCCAATTTATAACAACCCTATAAGATAGAGTAGAATTGTCCCATAGAGTTTCCAAGACTGATAAATCATTATGGAAGCAGACTGCCGCATTTTTCTTCCATGAAGTAGATGGTAGGCTTGAATTGCCATCTTTTGAGTTAGCAGCCAGGTGCTTAACCTCTGCACCACCAGGGCTCTTTATGATTGCTTATATGCTTGGACTAATTCCTGCCATCTTATTATATATCTCAGTCTCTGTCTCTCTTTATACACCCACTCCTTACTTATTGACATTGTTAGGTTCGCAAGCTGAGATCATTATGCAAAAATCAGTGTTATGTGAAAATGGAAGATGACAACATCAGGTCACAAAATGGAGGATGATTACATCATTACATAACTCCCATACCCCTGGGAATCATGGCCCAGCCAAATTGACACATAACACATATCTGTCACAGCCAGCATTACTCTTGCTTCACACCTTGGTGTTCATTACTGCCAGATGCATGTCATTAATGTGCAAAATAGTCAGACAGATTTTTTACTTTGTTGTAAATGTGAAATGTTGGATTATGAGATAGTTGATAAGTGAGGAGTAGGTGTAGATAAATTCCTTCCACCCTCCTCCTTCCTCCATCCTCTGATAACTACTCATCTTCTTTCTGTCTCAGTACATTTACCTATTCTAGATATTTCGTATAAGTTGAATGATAAAATATTTGTCCTTTTGTGTCTACCTTATTTCATTTAGCATTATATTTTCAAGGTTCATCCATGTGGTGGCATATATCAGAATTTAATTTCTCTCTATAGCTGAATAATATTGCACTATGTAGATATACCGTAGTTTTTTATCCTTTCATCTGGTGATGGACACTTAGGTTGTCTCCACCTTTGGCTATTGTAAATAATGCTGCAATGAACCTTGGTGTACATGTGTCTATTTGAGTCACTGCTTTGAATTATTTTAGTTATATACCTGTTCTGGTTACCTAGTGCCACTCTGACAAGAATATACCACAGATGGGATGGCTTGAACAAACAGGAGTTTATGCTTACAATTTGGAGGCTTTAAGTCCAAATTCAAAATACCTGGCTCTAGGGGATGGGTGAAAGTCCCTCAACCTTGGGGTTCAGCTCTGCCTCCTGCTCCCAGTCCACTGGAGCTAGAGGCTTTTCTTCACTCAGCTGATGGCTGCTGAGACTGACAAACCCAAGGTTGACAAGTAAAAAGGCACAGTCCTGATGTTACCAAACCACATGGCAAGCCATTAATTTAAGTCCATTGAAAGTCCCAAGGTTGGCAGAGCATGGTGGGCTGCTGAATAATAACATGGCTACATGCAGGGTTCAAATGTGCCATAAGCTAGTGACTGTTTCCCAAGGCTTCTCTTTATATACAGGAAGCAGACCACATCCCTAAGGCAGCTACTCAGCTGCTCACAGTAGATTCCTACCATGGAGTTGATCACCAGTCTTATCATGGGGAATACTACATCCAGCTGCCCAGCCACTCAACCAGGCCCAGCCAAGTTGACACACAAACTTAACTACCACAATTCCACCCCTTGTCAACTTGGCACCTGTACAGATCTTCATTGGGTGGCATCTGTACAGATCTCCTTCACTGGGTGGCTCTAATCCCCTAGTTCCTGAGTGGTGACCTCACCCCCTTGGCCTGGTGGGCCCCATTCCTCTCCCTGTTGGGTATGGTGGCTGCCTCCTTGGGTATGCCTCCTTTTTCTTGGGCAGCAGCTATGGCTCCATCCCACTGGCCCACATGAATGAACAGCCCCACACTCCAGAACCAAGTTTGTGATAGTCTAATTCCTTGAAACCTAGGGGGCTATGGTGGTTCCACTCCCAGAGACCATGGTCCTACCCTTAGAGGCTGAGGCAGCCCTGCTTCCCATTTCCTTGGTCTCTCTGCTTCTGCTGATTAATGCTGAAGGCAACTCACTCTGCTGGAAATCTTCCTGCCCCCCCCCCCCAAAAAAAAAGCATTCAGCTTTTTTGCTCTGTGGGCCAGCCAACCTGTTATTCCATTTCATGCTGGTCTATTCTACCAATTAACACCCGAAGGCAACCTACTCTGTCAGGAAGCTGCTTACCCAGTGGCACTGGTTTTCTCCTCCCTGGGCTGCTAAGCCTGTTGCTGTTTAATGCTGGTCTCTGGGCTCTGCTCCTGCCATCTCTCATTTGCATGCTGGGGTCTCTCTGTCAGGGTCTGGGTTAAGGATGCACTCTACTCCTGTTTCCACATTTTAGGTATCTGTCAGAGCAGCATCCCACTCTCCTGGTACCATATTCTGTTCTGGTTACCTAGTGCTACTCTGAGAAGAATATACCACAAATGGGATGGCTTGAACAAACAGGAGTTTATTCTTACAATTTGGAGGCTTTAAGTCCAAGTTCAAAATACCTGGCTCTAGGGGCTGGGTGAAAGTCCCTCAACCTTGGGGTTCAGCTCTGCCTCCTGCTCCCAGTCCACTGGAGCTAGAGCCTTTCTTCACTCAGACAGCTGGTGGCTACTGAGACTGACAAACCCAAGGTTAACAAGTAAAAAGGCACAGTCCCAATGTTACCAAACCACATGGCAGGCCATTAATTTAAGTCCATTAAAAGTCCCAAGGTTGGCAGAGCATGGCAGGCAGCTGAATAACAACATGGCTAAATGCAGGGTTCAAGCATGCCATAAGCTAGTGACTGTTCCCCAAAGCTTCCCCTTATATACAGGAAGCAGACCACATCCCTAAGGCAGCTACTCAGCTGCTCACAGTAGATTCCTACCATGGAGTTCATTACCAGTCTTATCATGGGGAATAAAAAGAAAGAAAGAAAAGACCATCCAGCTGCCCAGCCACTCAACCAGGCCCAGCCAAGTTGACGTACAAACTGAACTACCACAATACCTAAGAGTGGGATTGCTGGAGCATGTGGTATTTCTCCACTATTTATCTGTCAGTTTGTTGTATTTGGGAGTTTGCATGTTACTATGATAATGGAAGCTATGCCCACCAGTGCTTCAGAGACCAGCAGGCTCACTCATGTATACAAGTTTTAGTTAAGCTTCCACATTAGCACAGACTAGGAAGGAAGGCTTGATGATCTACTTCTGAAAAAATTGGCCAGCAAAAACCTTATGAATAGCAATAGAACATTGATACAGTGATGGAAGATGAGCCCCCCAGACTGGAAAACACTCAATATACAACTGGGGAAGAACTGCTTCCTCAAAATAGTTGACTTTAATGACATGGATAGAGTAAAGCTTTCTGGACCTTGATTTGCTGATGTACCATGACTCAAAATGAGAAGAAACAGTTGAAAATGTCCAGTAATAATCAGAATATAGAATGCATCAAGTATGAATCTAGAAAAAGTGAAAGTCATCAAAAATGAAGTGGATAGAGATGGGTATCCTAGGCCTTAGTGAGCTGAAACAGACTGGTAGTGGCCGTGTTGAATCAGACAGTCATATAGTCTGCTATGCTGGAAGTGACAAATCAAAGAGGAATGGTATCACAATCATTGTCAAAAAGAACATTTCAAGATCTGTCCTGAAGTGCAGTGCTGTCAGTGATAGTAAAATATCCATACGCTTATAAGGAAGACTAGTTAATATGACTATTATTCAAATTTACACAGCAACCACTAATGCCAAAGATGAGGAAATTGAAGATGTTTTACCAAGTTCTGCAGGCTGAAATTGATCAAACATGCAATCAAAATGCATTGATAATTACTGGTGATTGGAATTTGAAGGTTGGAAACAAGAAGGATTAGTAGTTGGAAAATGTGACCTTGATGATAGAAACAATGCTGCATTTTGCATAATAGAATTTTGCATGACCAATGACTTATTTTGTTGCAAATTACTTTTTTTTCAACAAAAACTTAAAAAGTGACTATTCATGAGCACCTCGCTAGATGGAATACACAAGAATCAAATTCATTACCTCTGCAGAAAGAGAAAGGAGCTCTGGTGGTATAATGGTTAAGACATTTGACTGCTTACCAAAAGGTCAGTGGTTCAAACCTCCCAGCTGCTCTGCAGAAGAAAGATGAGACAGTCTGCTTTTGTAAAGGTTTATAGCCTTGGAAACCCAATGAGAGTCACTATGAGTTGCAATTGACTTGGTGGCAGGATTTTTTTTTTTTTTTTTTTGTTAGAAAGAGATGGTAGAGAAACTCAATATCAGTCAGAAGAAGAAAACCAGAGATTGACTGTAGAACAGACCATGAATTGCTCATATACAAGTTCAAGTGAGCCAAAGTACAACCTTGAGTACAACCCACCTGAATTTATAGACTATCTCAGGTCAGATTAGACTCATTGAACACTAATGACCAAAGACCAGACAAGTTGTGGGATGACATCAAGGACCTCATACATGAAGAGAGCAAAAGGTTATTAAAAAGTCAGGAAAGAAAGAAAAGACCAAAATGGATGTGAGACAAGACTTTGAAATTCGCTCTTTAACATAGATTAGCAAAAAAGAAAGAAAGAAATGATGAAATAAAAGAGCTGCACAGAAGATTTGAAAGGGCAACTTGAGAAGACAAAGTAAAGTATTATAATGAAGTTATAGGTGCAGAGACCTAAGTTAGAACACCAAAAGGGAAGAGCAAGCTTGGTATTTCGTAAGCTGAGAGAACTGAAGAGAAAATTCAGGCCTTGAATTGCAATATTGAAGAATTCTATGGATAAAATATTGAACGAAGCAAGACACATTAGGAAAAAGAAAAAACACAAAGATGGACAGAATACTCAGAATCACTGTACCAAAAAGAATTGGTCAATGTTCAACCATTTCAGGAGGCGGCATATGATCAAGAATCAATAGCACTGAAGGAAGAAGTGCCAACTGTACTGAAGGCATTAGTGGAAAACAAAGCTTCAGAAATTGACAGAATACTCACTGAGATGCCTCAACAAACTGACACAGTGCTGGAGATGCTCACTTTTTTATGCCAAGAAATTTGGAAGACAACTACCTGGCTGACTGACTGAAAGAGATCCATATTTAATCACCATTTGAAAGGTGATTAAAAAAATATGGAAATTATCAAACAGCATCACTAATACCACATACAAGTAAAATTTTGCTAAAGATAATTAAAAAATAGTTATAGCAGTACATTGACAGGAACTTCTAGAAATTCAAGCCAAATCCAGAAAAGAATGTGGAAAAAAAGGATGTCATTGCCGATGTCAGATCAATCTTGGCTAAAAGCAGAGAATGCTAGAAACATGTTTACCTGTATTTTATTGACTATGCAAAGGCACCTGACTTTGTGGATCATAACAAATTATGCATAGCATTACGAAGAACGAGAATTCCAAAACATTTAATTGTACTCATGTGGAAGCTGTAGATAGACCCAGAGGCAGTCATTCAAATAGAACAAATGGTTATACCGTGTTGTTTAAAATCAGGAAAGGTTGCATCAGGGTTGTAACATTTCACCATACTCATTCAATCCGTATGTTGAACAAATAATCTGAGAAGCTGGACTATATGAAGACGAATGTGGCATCAGGACTGGAGGAAGATTCATTAACAATCTGCAATATGCAGATAACACAACCTTGGTTGCTGGAAGCAAAGAAGACTTGTAGCACTTACTGAACATCAATGACTACAGCCTTCAAAATGAATAACACCTCAATATAAAGAAAACAAAAATCCTCACTACTGGAGCAGTAAGCAACATCATGATAAATGGAGAAAAGATTGAAGTTGTCAAGGATTTCCTTTTACTTGGATCCACAATCAACACCTATCGAAGTAGCCATCCAGAGATCAAGTGATGTGTTGCATTGGGCAAATCTGCTAAAAAACACCTCTTTCTTTTCTTTTTCTTTAAATTTTAAGAGCTTGTTTTACATTCAATGTAATGCATAGATTTAGTTTCATTCCCCATTTGCCATGTCCAACCCTAACCAGTCTTTTCACCTCCCTACCCTGCAACCCTCCCCCTGTGCCCCTCATAATTATGCACTCCTGTTCTGTTTTCCTCAGTTTGAATGTTGGTCCTCTGGTGTCCCTTGGTCTATTGCTCTAAGGGATGTATTACTATGGAGTATGTGGGTGCGTCATCCTGGGTTGAGTGGTCTGTGTGTACATCTTGTTAACTATTGGGCTGAAAGCCTGCCCCTGGGGTTAAGTTTTATTCCAGGTGCAGAATGTATTCCAGGGCCATCATATTGGGAGTCTCACCAGATTTCATCTGACCTGTAATTCTGGTCATTATTGAGTTTTTGGATTTTGTTCCAC